GCCTACTTAGCACAGAAGGCAAAATGCACCTCCCATTAGGAGAAGTGCTAGAGCTCTCTAAGGTTATTCCCACCCCACATTCTTTATATTTCTTCTCCACATATTTCCCTGCAAACACACTCTCTTCCCACATTTGCTTCTGTGCATATGTCTCCTGGCTGGTTAGCATTTGGCATCTAGGTAAGACCTCATTAACAAAAAAAATACCAAGTAAATTGTGTTTGTGTTACTAGTGAAGCAGCCAGACTTAATCTTCATGAGCAAGGGTTTCTATCCACTGCAAAGAGATTGGTAGCTACAGTCAGTAACCTTAAAATGCAAGGGTTTCACTGAGCAATTTTAAAATTACTGCAAAACACAGCAAACTGATGGGGAAGACACTGGCAGGATCAAGTCTGAAAGGTGGAAAAAGTCATCAGAAAGAGGTGCCTCAGGCCCCTGGGGGATACATCATTCAGGTTCAGCAGTCCAGATAATATACATGTAGGAAAAAACTCCTTACTTGGTAATCTAGAAAGGATGGAGGAGAGGGAAAAGCTAAGCAAAAACAGAAGCATCAGGGTGTGGTAGGAAAACACCAAACAAACTAAAAAAACCCAACTGGCTTAAAAAGAATGACCCAAAGTCAGAGTTTATCAGTTTGAGATCTACTAGAAAAAGCTATTTTAATATGCTCTTCCCTCAGCTTTCTGCCTCTGCTACTGGAGGTGTTTAAAAAGAATCTAAAAATAAAAATCAAGATAGAATTAAAAATACACCATGAGCAAAAATAATACTGACCTTTTTCTGTTTCCATGTAAACTGCCAAGAATATTGAAAAAGGTGCCAAACCATTTTTATGTCTCAAAAATATTTTTTCTACCATTTTAATGACATTATCTAATTTGCCTTTACTCATTACACAGCCACAGTTTAAATAGACAATACAAGCTATGTTATTACATGATTGAAAATCAGATACCTTGTGTTTCTCAAATCTGATAAAGCAAGGCAGACTTCTCTTAAAGCACATTGTGGCTTGAAATGCAAGGTTGCTGTTTTGGAGTCAGACATTATTCTTGTTATCTTCACCATGGTCTCACACTTTAAAGAAAAGATTATTCTCTTCGCAGGTGCCACCATAAATGTATTTAACAACCTCCCCCTTTTTAGCATTTGTTTTACTGATAGGATTCATATCCTGCTCTACTCAAATTAAGACCAATTACTGTTTCCCTCCATAGTACAATTTTATCCAACTCTTTTTAAAATGGTTGCTCTTCTGTATCATATTCCTTCAAAGGAAGAAAGTCTTTCATAACATCAGGTCTTCTTGGTCTCTGTGAACACTCATCTAATACATTGCAAGGACATTATATCTAGACTATCTTTTGCAAATGGTTGCTAGAGTGGCTGGGGAAAACATACACAAAGTTGTCTAGGATTAATGGCAGTTTTGATCTGAATTCTGAGAATCTAAATGTTAAGTCCAAGCATTTTACTGCCACTTTAGACAGGCAGCCTTTTTCTTTTTTTTTGGGGGGGGGGGGTGGAACTAGCCCACAGAGTGTTCTTCAAGGGAACATTCCACATCATGTTTATCTGAAACTATCTAATCAATTTAGCAGCACATCTTATCTAACAGAATAAACATCTTACAAGGATGCAATGTTTCTAAACTCAGTATCAGTTAACATACCATTATCCATTGCGTGAAGTCTCTAATCCTCTTTTGTTTCAAGTCTGTAGCACATGCTTGATTCAAACTGTTCCAGACAGTAGTTTTCCATTAATGGAACTATGAACATCACACAATACACAAGTCTTTAGAGCTAGGTACCTAAAACAAGGTAAGTAGGACTAAAGCATGCCTTTTCATCCTATAAAAGCAACTGTTTCCCAGAATTATTTTCCAGCTTGATTTGAAAGATTATTATAAATGAAAGAAAAGGGCAAGGGGAAAAAAAACAAGCCAGTGTTCAGACAGTGACATTGTAAAACCATATTCCTATTTCAGGGATGTGAAATAATTTATAAGATAATACAATATACATTATTTTCCATATGTAATAGTTTATTCATGCCAGAGGGCAGATCCAGTTGTATCTAATCAGAGGAAAAGCTTAATGCGATAGCTGCAGAGACATTTCCCACAGTAGCTGTATTAAAAAAAAAAAAAAAAAAAAGGAAAGTGCTTTCTATGGAAACTAAAATAGTAATATCAATGCATAATTGCTTTATATTACAAGTGTCTCTACAACAGAATAAAGGCCAGCAATTAGCACTTCTCAATGCTTAAAACCTACAGCAAGATTTTGTGCTTAAAAAAAAAACAAAAAACCCACAGAATTTATAAATAAAAGTCCTGAGTAGGAAATCTGTCAGATAAAAGTTTAAACAGAAGCAGCCTGACTTGAAGTGCCCACTCTCAGCTAGAAGCAACATCTATTGTACTGGTCACCATACAAACCTATAAACTTTAAAGCCAAGACAAGGGCATTTCAGTGGGTTCACACAGCAACTGACAGCAATTGAAGTTATTTCATCTCTGTAAATCACGATAATATTTGCATACTCTTAGCCCACAGGAAGGATAGGGCTTGGTAGAGACTAGAGAAAGAGGCTTAAAATAAGCCAAGTTACATTGTCTTTCCCGTGAACAGAGATCACACAGGGACTTATCTAACACATGGTAACCTGCCAGCCACTGAGACCTGAAGCTTGAGTCTATCAACAGCTGGCCAACTTCATGCAGTTTTTATTTCTTTCAGTTTATAAGCAGGTTTAAGCTAAAACTCAAGATGTCAATCAAACCAGAACAAGTTTCCACACAGGGCTTAGCTCAACTGTATTAGCTTCAAACCAGCCTTAACCTAAAGAAGAGCTACAGCTAATCCAGCTTTTAACACGATCAAAGCAAATTTTATTAAGAATTCCCCTTTGGCTGGAATAGATGGCTATACCAGCCAGCCTAAATAAGCCCCATATCTAGTCAAACCTGTCCAAACACCTTTGTAATGTAGAGCAACTGCACATAAGGAGGGTAAGTACACTCAATCATCTCGCCAGTTATTGCATCCTCTTCAGATGAAAAATGCTATATCAGAATTCCTGCTTTGGTGGTGTTGAGGGATGAGAACACAGTACAAGATTAGCAGAGATGTGGAAGGGAGACTGCATTTCAAGGAGAGAAGCAGGACCAAGACAGAGGAAGCAAAGCAGTTGGCTTACAAGCCATCCCAATAAGCACTGAGCTACATCAAGTTGGCTACTCCTGATAGAAATTTCTTCTCCAGAACAGTTCACATGCAGACAAAGACAAAAAGTATAGGAGCAGTTCTACCCTAGCTAAAACCTGCTGCTGAATGACTGTAGGCCCTTAGAGGCTGCAGGAATGAGAGGCCTACATCAGGTATTTAGTTCAGTGCAAAGAGGCAGTCAGATTTTAGGGGGATGAAAAAAAAGGAGAGTTTTGATTTACATTTCTGCTAGCATAGTCACTGGTGTGCAGATCAGGCCATGCCTGGCAAGAATAAATCAATACTACTTTCCTTGAATGTTTTGTGAATAAATGACTCCAGAAAACATCCTGATCTTGCATCATCAGTTTCAGTTTGATGGGAAGTGAGCAGCTGTCCTTAGGCAATGGCAAAAGTATGCAAGGTTGTAGAGCATCTCGAGAGAAAAAGAAAGAGCCTGAACATTGATGGACAAAACATATTAAACAATCTGTCTTGACTTGATTAATTTGATATAAGATAGCCCCAACCCACAAAGAGTACTGGGGACTTTAGGATTTTTGCATATTCTGATCTAGGACTTCAATTTAGGTTTAGAACAGAAAAGTTCTCAAGGGTCCATACTAGCAAAACATTTCTTCCCATAATAAAAGACATTGGCATAAGAAGCGTATAATAGATAGTTCTTAGCATCTCACTGAGTCAGGCAATGACATACACACAGTGCATGCAATATACAGATATCTAGCAAAACAGTCTGCTAGTTCTAGTCAAACTCTGGAATTTACTGTAGTAAAATGCAGGTGCAACACATTGCATATAATAAAATGCCAATCCCAGGAATTTGTCTGTGCCTCACTAAGAGATAGTTCCACAAAAACGCTCAGTAGCTGTCACAGAAGTGAATGGAGACAAGGAGGTATTAGGAAAGAATAAATCTGTGGTTCCAAACACCTTGAGAAATCTGCATTTGTGGTTCCCATGAATCATTTGGAAAGGATGATGAAATGCAAAAGACTTAGAGAACACAAGGACAATTTATAGACATGAAATTATATCACTATGGCTAACATTTAAATAGATAAGGATTCTTTAGACTGTGTATCTGAACTGAAGGGGCAGTACAGGACCTGTTCTATAGTGACAATAGGACATGATGGTCAGATCATGTGAAGAAGAACTAGAAGGCACCAAATACTGCTAGTAAGAACCAGGTTCAAGTCAAACAAAAGCAGGTGATTCTTCACACAGGCAAGGTTGGTCTGTGAAACAACTGAGTAAAGGATGTGGTAGATGCTAGCAGTTTACTGTTTCAGAAAACAACTGGACAAATGGAAGAGAATTTCACCAATAGCTGCCAAATGAAAAAAATACTGGAAAAGAAAAGGAACCAACCAATCAAAAAAAAACAAACTCACAAAAAGCAAACAAACAAAAAAAAACCAAAACACCAACAAGAACCCCCACACCCACTGCGCTGACTTAGAATTCTCCAAATCATAAAATTGCTTAGGAAATAATTCTGGGAGAACACCACTATCTCAGAATTGTTAAATTCTTCCCCAGATATTTCCCCAGTTAAAGGTCATTGTCAATGCAAGATAGGAACCTGGAAAGATCTTGAACTGTACCACATCCATTCTTGCATAGACATCTTTCTTTTTAGCTAATAAAAACCTTCTAAACATGAGCATAATTTTCAATGCAATTGCTCATACATTAATTTCATAATGCTTCACTCACTCCCTCTCTCCCTTGCCTTCCCTCTCTCTTTTCAGATTAAAGAAAATCCAGATGGGGTGCAGGTGCTGCAAAATGATTCAAAGGTACAATAGAACAAGAGTTGCTTAGACTGAATAAAAGAAAAGCATGAAACCATGTCACTGTGCTCCTCTACACCTGTTGCTTAAATTAGTCTATTTAAAAGGTTGGAGTTTTCTCAAAGTTTACAGTATCTTCAAGCATAGGCATACTGATTCCCTCCAAATGTCCTTTTTGTTTACTGTAATTATGGTCCCTTTTTATAATTCCTGTCCCACAAAGTAAATTGTGTGACATTGAAAACTCTTCTTTAGTAAAGCTATTTCTCATTTAGGTAGCATGAGCTTCCCTCAATTCGGTAGAACAAGGAGCACAGACTTTGTCAGATCTCCCTCTCTCCTAAGCAATGAAAATGAACTATAGTTCCTTGCTTCCATCATAGCTTTTAAATGTAGTTAGTTGTGGGAATTATTCCCATATAAAAGTCTCCCTAGAGAGGAAGCTTCGCTAGTTTGATAAAGACCACATTTCATCCCCACTTGGGGGCTACTCCTTCCCTTGGTCACTTCTGTAGAACAGGTAAGGAAGTGGGGTGGGGAAATGGTGCTATGAGAGAAAGAGGGGAGATAAAGAAAAGAGAGAGGCCCTGAAAGAGATAAGTCAAGGAAAATGTAGAGCAAGAGGAAGAAAATAAATCAGAAGGGGAAAAAAAAAAGAGAAAAGGACAAAAGACTTGAAGGAAGAACAGCAGCAAAAAACAGATATTTTAGCTACTACATGAGGACATACTAATTAACAATCCATGCAATGACTACTCATTGGCTAATGAACTCCCCAGAGGAAACAAAAAATAAAGCTGGAAACAAGCAACAGCCAGCACACAGTTCTCCAACATCCTGCTTATGTTCCTGGTGAATCTCACTACAGGGGCTAGTTATGATCAGTCCCAGGAGACAGCAGCTGACAGCACAGTTCAGCATTTGCATTCGGTTTAGCTCATTCTCAGGACCTGAGGTAAAGTTTAGTGACTCTAGTTCCTCAATACCTTCAAGTTAAAAATGAAACTTAATCTTTCTTACTCATTATATTGATTAATATCATAAGTAATATTTCCTCTACAATTTTTCCTTACTCCAGCTATATTTTTGATCCAGAAGAAGTACAATCACCGGGACACATCCATGAAGTAGACAACTATAAACACAATGAACAAGGTAGCAATAAATTCAAATTCAAAGAGAACAGTGAAAATGAAGAACACAAAAATGAACTTCAGAAGAATGAGTTAAGTAGGACAGAAAATAAAAATCCATTAAATAGTACAAAAGAAACTCTCTGGAATCATGGAGGCAACAATTTTCAAGAGGACAGCCTTGTGAAGTGTGCTGCAAAGCTTGATGTTGCAGTCAATGGTGGCAACTCCTGTGCTGAAGGGCACTCCACACTCAATCCCAACAGAAACCTGACAAAAGAAGCCAGTGAAAAGGGAACCTGCAGCCAGTCAGAGGCTTCTTCAACCAGCAACAGAGACTTTTACACCATATCAAACAGGTCTGGACAAGAACCTGACCTAGAGACAGGAAGTCAGAGGAAAGCAGCCTGCGATGTGTCTAACAGTATTTCGGACTCCCAGTCTGCACAAGACAGCATCTTTCTCAAAGGAAACTCAATACTGGGGACACAAAACAATGCCATACAACTGCCAGATATTGACTACCCTCAAAATGGCAATCAAACTGGGAACTGTGTTGAAAAAGACAGCTTTTCAGTCCACTGTGCACATTCAGGTCAAAACACTGGTCCTTCAGCAATAGAGAACCAGGACCTTTGTGTAACCCCATCTTTGCCTGTGAAGGAGAGCAGTGCTGAACCTTTTGAAACTGACTCTGCAAATTTGAGTGAGGGCATTACTGGTGGTGTCACTGCAGTGGCTGTTACCAAAGTCACACAGGCACTCCCACACCCCAACCATAAAGACATCAACAGAGAAACTGAGGAGGAAGATGCAGAAGTCGCAGCAGCTCTGGCTGCACTGGAAGCTGCAACTGCAGGGGAAGACCTGGAAGATGATGACGAGTACTAGATGAAGGTTTTATCCTAATACAGTAGGTAAGATCCAGATTTTATTTCTGGATCTATATGAACACATGTACAGCACACATGGAGAGCTGTTATGAACAGCATATATAAAAGGAGTTGGTACTTAAACCTCTGTCTCTTCAGCTGTTTTATACAGCCTTTTAATTTCCACTGCCCGAGGTACAAAAATGCTCCCTTGGCTAATGGTAATACTCTTCTCTGTGGAGCCAACCAGGAGGGCAAAGCATCATTTCTTCCACACAGAATATTCCGCTGTATACCCACCTCACCTGGACTCATGCAAATGTTTCCTTTGGTTTTGACCCTCATGAGGGTCTACGCACACTGGAGGCTCCAGGTTCAGAAAATTTCCATTATTTAAAACAACAATTGAAGCCATGAAGTTAGAAACCACAGATTTTCATCAGCAGCACAAAAAAAATATATAAATGAGCCAAAGTTCTATGATCTACGGAAGTGTGAAATCAAGACGGTAGCTTTGCTTGGACTTCACTGTGGTTATGGTTCCATTATTGATTAAATCTAAGCCCGTGCATGTGCAGCAGGCATTAGGACGATAACCTCATCTCTCCCCTTACATCTCCCCTCAACTTCATGTTGCTGCTTCAGTTCCTTAAAACTGCAGAAGTCTAGCCAAATCCAAGTGAATAGGTAACTTTCTGTTGGTTTTATGAGCTGAAACAGTTCACATAGGAATTGTACACACAATATCAGAGGTGTTGGAGAGGGATGAAAATTCAGTCCCTACCAGTTTGGATAGATTAAAACTGTAGTAGAACTACATCCTGAAACCTCTCAACTCCACTAAATCTTCCAGGCACACATCAGTTGTCTTAGCAATACAGTTTTCAAACAGTTTATGTTTCAAATATCCCCAGCAAGATGTGTTTTGTTTATGTACAAACAACAAGGGCCAATGTGGACTCCTCCATGGCTCTGCTGTAGTCCTGAAACTTACAGCAGAAAAAAGGATCAAGCTTCCAAGTTGAACTAAGCATAAGCCCTGAAAATAGCTGCATTCCTGGAGGGGCTGCATTCCTTGTGGGGAAAAAAGGAGATAGAGATCAATTCAGTGCTGCCAATTCAGCAAAAATATGGTTGAAATAGAAAGTGCTTGACATTTTATACTGAAATTTTATGGTTATCAAGTTTCTGTTATAAACTCCAAATAAATTTTTTAATCATATAAAAAATAATCTGGTGGCTTTTGTACTTTATGCATTTTCTGAATACAAAAATTACATTAAAGAAGTACTATAAGATATAGCCCTCATTAGATACACAAAAAGCACCAACTATGTATTTGACTACAGTATACGCTGAATCCTAGTCTAACCATTAACATACATAAGGATCAGAATATTAGGAGGTGGGTTTTCAGTAATGTGTAGATATTTAAGTTATTTCATTTAAATGCAAATTGTTTTCAAGTGCAAGACTAAGTCGGTATTTCAATTTCTCAAAACATTAACGATAACCCTAGGAGCAATTAAAACAACCTAAAGTCTCAGCTTCAAGAGAACTATATTCAGCTATGGACAAGAGTCACAATATTGTATCTGTAAAATAAAAAAGCTTTATATGTTCTTAAAGTACTGCAGTACTGTTGATTTCTCTACCGCTTTCCTAATTTAACAGATCCTTCTAAGCATTTTCATAAATGGATACAAGTTTTATGTACACATTTGCCTTTCAAAGATTACTACAATATCAAATGCCAGTGAACTACTGGCACATTGTGTATTACTAGTTGTGATTATGACAGGACATCCCATATGTCTGTCTGTACCGTGAGGGCCCTGAGGGTATTCCCAGGCCTGACTGTCCCTGCCCACCAACCCAGGGCTCTCCCTGCCCTGCCCAGGGTTCCATGTCAGTCCCATGGGGGCCAGACCCTGCCCCAGCTCCCCGCAGCCCTGCCCAGCCTGGCCACAGGCCCTGCCAGAGATGCCTGGGATGGGGTTGCCCTGCTGCCTGCAGCTGCCCCACACCCTGGTTGGGGTGGCAGGACAGACTCTGGCTATGGCATCCAGGCCTGCTGTCCCTGGGGAGCCTCCACTGCTCCCCACATCCCAGCCCCAAGGAGCCACCAGCCCCTGCTACACCATGGCACAAACCACGAAAAAAAATTACATTAAAAAAAGTTAAAAAAAGAAATGCAACAAACACCCACAACACTTACCCAATCTTTCAATATCCACTCAATCAAATTTTTCTAACCTGAGCTCCAACCTGAACTTCAAATGCAAATCACAGCAAGTTTCTCACCTTGCTCCTCAAGATTAAAACATATTACAGGAGAGTCCCTGGTCAGACCCAGCCCAGACAATCCAAACCAGGCAACCCTTCCAAGGATACCTGCCTGCAATCACAGGCCACCAGGCTGAAACCCTCTGCAAGAGAGCAGCTGAGCCACAGACATCACAATCCTTGCAGCCCAAGTTCTCATTGTCATAAACATATGAGGCAAAACCCAGCGTAGAACAAGCATATTTGCTGCATTGGAAATAACCGGTCAATGCTTCTCTTAAAAAAAAAGAAAAAAAAATTAGGCATATGCATACCTGAAACCTGCATCACATGGAAAGCTTCCATAAAACAAACCTATGAGGTAACACCAACACTCAGACTTCTCTTATCCGCTATCTAAAAAAGCCTAGTGCAGTTTTTAAATTAGAAAAAAAATTATATGGATTTTATACTTATGTGTTATATCCTTTCAATTCTATCATGTCACAGCAGCGTCAGGAGCTCCTAGCCATTTTTTCAGACTGTAGAATAATTTTCATAATAAATGTGAAAGAATCAATTATTTCAGAAATAAATTTTTAAATGCCACACACAATTTCCTGCATAAAAAAAGATTTTAAGTAATTATATGAGAACCAAATCTCATTCAATTCCATCAGATATTGATGCAAAGAAATGCAAACAATGCCAGCTTAGAGAATCCATTTTGCTCAGGCAGTTGTAAGAGTAAAATTTAGTATCTTGAGAAAACAGAGGAAGTTACAGGGAAAAAAATTACTAGAAGCAAGAGTAAACTGTATTTTAAGACTTCCCTCAAAAACTCCACAGCTTTGTAAGACATCCAAACGCTAACTTCAGTTACCAATCAATTATGTTTCTTATATTCAGAGGGCTCACTTATGAAGAAGAGCTTAAATGTTTCAGTCTTCCTTTGATACAAAAGGAATTAATGAGCAAGCTGATTGGCCAGTATCTATTTTTAATGTTTCTATACTTGATGTAATTCTATATGGGTGAGTGTGAAGACACATGTAGCAATAAAGAACAGGCAATATGATGGGAAACTATTATGAGATCTGGTATTTCTATGAGATTTTGCACCTTGGAAGCTCATGTTTTACTTGTTATTCTCCAAAGCTCGTAACACAGCTTAAAGGGAATTTGTAATCTTTCATATATAAGCAAAGAGACATTGAGTAAGATTAAGTTTAGCACCTTCTCATTTATCGGGAGGTCAACTCTGAATTATCAAAAAAAGTTTCACATCACTGCAGAGATGCCACATATGACAACAGGAGTGAATGACAGACCAATCCACCCAACTCAAGAAAGTTATTTCCTAGGGAAAACACAGCAAGAGAAGAACCCAAAATTTGATACTGCAGTATTCTTCAGTTCAGCAAACAAAATTCTAACAAGAAAGCAGGAACCTGGAAATAGATACGTGCCACAAAGATGTTTTTTTTCCTTCCTTTTTAAAGAACAAAGGCAATTGGTTGGGCAAGCGTTGCCGTGGCGACTTCCCATTAAAAATTAAAATCCAGAAATAGAAAGTCTGTTATTTTCTAAAAGATACTTCAGATTTTATTAAGTAAAATACCATTTTTTAATCATCGTTTGAAGGGTGAAACAAGAAACATTGATTTAGAAATAAAAAAAAAGGTTAATCTTGACCTTATGCTGTATTTGTAGTTTCAATTTCCTAAATGCGATTTAATTTTCCAAAAGATTAATTCTTGCCAATGTATCTCATTTTTCTAAATGAGAATAGAATATCTCAACATTTATTAAGGTCTGTGTATATAGTGTTTCAAATATTTATTCAAATGCCTATATTGTACATTTTAATTACATTGAAATAATTAATCTTAATAGATTATTTTTCTTGAATTGCAGTATCTCTCCTTGCATGTAGATGAAAATGGAATTCATCTAAGTTGCACAAGAGCATCACTTCAAAATTAATTGTATGAAAACTTCTTTTATATGCTAAATACACAAGGAAGTAAATTTACCAAAGTCATTCTACATTAAAAACTAATTTATTTCTAAAAAATTCTGTTGATAAAATTTCCTTTCAGACATTGTGTCCATCTAGGTTTTCGAACACAGGTATCACAAAATGTTTAAGAGTAATTATTAGAAGCAGATTAAGACTTTTTTATTGGTCTTTCCAATATCAAATATTCTAGGCTGAGACTTTTTTTTTTCCTGTACCACTATGAAATCAAACCAGCACCTCCTCAGCTTGTTTCCTGGCCAGGCTTTTCAAATTTCATCCATTCACATATACTGCTAGAGACATTAGTCTTAGGATCCTGCCTCCATTAACAATTTTACTTTGCATCTCAGGGAGGTTTGTTTTTAAGTTTTCCTTCATTTTGAACCTTCACAATTATTTTCTAAATTTCAGATCAGACAATCCTTGAGTTGAATTAGTTGAATTTCCTTGAGTTGAATTAGTTGAATTCAGAATAGAAAACAGGAAATACTGCCTGTCCCTACAAATGATACTACTAGTGACCACTTCTGCAAACTGTGTCCCACCTGCTTTGGTTTTTTCCATTTCAAACAATGAGCTGTTGACATTTTGGAAGAAACTAAAAGGGTCTCTTGGACTCTGTAATAAAAGTTGAAATCGATTATAGCAACTTTATGCCTTAACATAAGCAGTAATGACTTTTTAAGTGTTTTATTGTTAAATACCAAAGTTTTATTGTTAAATCCAATTTCACATTAGAACTTTATTACATGTAGTTACTCCCCCACTCCCTAATTCTTCCTCCTTTAGTCAGAGAAAAGAAATATTTTCTTGTACAACTCAATTTAGAGAACAGGATTCACTCTATGACACAGGAAAGACACTGCTTGTCTTGATTTTGTTTTTAATCCAACTGCTGAAGTACAGATCTCAAGCATTCATCTCACAATCACTGTGATCAAAACTATGGAGGTTACATCATTCCTTGCTCTGAATCTTTACTGAAACTATTATAAACAGGATTTAACATGTTTTTGCTTTAATTTATAATTCAATTACTGTACATTAACAACTGAAAACAACTGAAAAACCTTTTTTTATTCTTTAGCAAAATAGATAAACATCAAGTCTTTCAGGAAATACAGCATCCCAATATTTTGTCAGGTTGCAGACAAGTTAAGTACTCAACCAACTCAACAAATAAAACTGTGTGAAGTCAGTCAATCGAATTAATTTGCTCATTGAGTTTCCTTCTGTTTATTCTGAGCTAGAGATTAGTTTGATTATTATGAGGGTGCAGAAGCAGAAAGGAACACGGTAACACCCTCAGCTATATACCTTAACTGCAAGCATGGTCAGATTTTCAATAATTTATGATCACATGTCCTATCCCCCCTCTGCTCTTAACACTTGGAACTGTACCAAGTAATTTACCTAGACTTGCACAGAATGAAAGGAAGGTAAGTGACAAAGGGAAGATGACTACAGAGCAAAATGAATATATGAATGAGATTAAAATTCTGTTTAAGTATTTAAGACAAACTGTAGGGATCTGGCCAAGAATGAATAACCTAGATTGTTTCCATCTCACATTCTAAAGGCTGGCATCTAAATAAAGCATTACTTTTCTTTGGTTCTTACTTGAGATCCTCTTCCAGAGACAACAGATTAAATCATTTCGGGACATTCCTCCGATTAGTTTTTCCATACAATCTTCAGAAAAAAAATCTATGCAAATCTCTTTATTTTCAATACAAGATGCGCTACACAAAGAGATTTTGCTGTGGCCAGAACTGGTACAAGTTTCTCCAGAATCAATTGTAGCATAGATGGAATATTACAGATTTTTAATGCCACAAATTTCAGGTTGGTAGGTAAAAGTGACACAGGGGTTAATCTAAAAAGTATACAGCACACTTTGCCAGGACAATACCAGTCTCATTTTGGTTACCTTTTACTCATTAATCTGCTGTTTACGCACAGTTGCGTACAAAACTCACCCAATTAGTATCTGCAAAAAACCAACCGTACTAAAGATTCAGCATTAATCAAAATCAAGATAAATTATCAAAAGCCTTACAAAAGAATATGCATACTCCACCCTGAGTGAGAATTACTTTTCCAGATTCATGCCTGAGTGTTAATTACCAGGTGACACATGCTGCTATTGTTTTGATATCTGACACACAGATCCTGTTCTTCCTCATTGCTTTGATTAAAAATTTGGCTCAGGGAGAAGTTTACATTGTTCCTTTTAACAACTGCAGCAGCTACTTCCAGGCCAATGCAGGGCAGGAGAGGGGCCAAGCTGCCGGGTCCTGGCTAGCCACAGCTCTGCCCCTGCCCCATGAAGCATCTCAGACTTCCCATAAATTAGGGCTTTTTCAAATTTTTTGTTTAATTTTTTTTACACTGACACACTACAACTTTTTTGAATTATCAATAAAAGCTTCATAGCTCCCTCTGCTGCCAGCAAATATATAATTCAGTTGCTCTACACAAAATCTGCTTGCATCTGACAGAAAACAAGGCATTCCTGTCTTGCTTTCTATGCATATATGTGTATGTGCATACACACACAGGTATGTAGAATCCTTGGAAAATAAGATTTGGGAAATATTATGAGTATTTTAATTTAAGGTTCTCCTAACTGCTGCTTTTTATAATTATTTTGACTGTAAATCAAAATATTGAAGACCAGTAATTAAATACTATTTTCATCTGATAATTTCAAAATAGTATCTTATTCAGCATGAAAATCAAACCACATTACCTGGGTATTTAACTGTGTATCTTTCATAATCCCGGTTCCTGCCTCCTCTCCGAAGCAGCCCCTCTGCCATCAGTGCCAGCAGGTACCAGCTAGGTTTGTTAGTTGTTTTGTTGTTGCTTTTCTGCTGCATGCTGACAGCTATGAAAAGTTTACTGAAGCCAATGCTCTCTATTCCCCACGACCACCATTTCAAGACCAGCAACACAACTGTGCCACACCAGCACGTGTGCCTCCTGCCTGCCACTGCTGCACACCTAACAACTGCAGCCCAGAAGAAACAGGACTGGGATGACTGACTGAAAAGTGGCAAGGAAAGAACAGCTAACAAGGGAAGGGGTGATCAGAGGGTTTACACATATAAAACTGAGGGGTTACATTGGTAGAAAAATGCATTTGCCAATATATTCTCCTTTGTGTAAGGCAGCTACGTTGCAGCTCCACTTGATGCCATCACATCTCTGCAGCACTAGAGGTTGCACAGATATAATTTAAGAGGTATTTCAGTTGCAATACAACAAGGCCTACCCTGCTAAGATTTACACAGAGCCAAAGTCTGACTGCACATCCAGAAACAGACAGCCAAGCACTACCCACAGAACTGGCTTCGGACAAAGGCCTGTCCACATCACAGGGGACTTGGTGTCTCTTACCTAAACTTACTAGCAAGTATACCACCAACCCACTCTTTTCCCCCAGTCACAGATAATTTAGAGGCTGCTTTACTGTCATGGCAGAGAGTTCTCAGACCTTGCCACTATTCAGAGGCTTCTGCCATCTTCTTGCTTCCAGCACTATGGGCCTGGCATCTCTCCTACCTCCTTTTCTCCAAAAGTTAGCAGAACAGACTCCTGCTTTCCCAAACTGTTTGGCTTCCTTTTCCTTGACTCGCTCCAGACATACATATCCTTTAATTAGTTTTGCCTCACCAGATGACTTTAACCTGCCAGGAAGGCAGCTCCAAGGCTGACAGGTTGCCTTGCAGCTCTGTGCAGTGGTAGCTCCACCATCAGCCAGCCCTGTATCAGGTGGTGCAGACAGGGGAGACGAAAGTGTCCAGAACAAGAGGTACAATCAAATTATGGTTCGAGTAAACAAACCAGCAGCATCTTAGTGCATGTCCCCTACCTCTAGAGAGGAAAAATAACCTTTAGAAACTTAAAATTAAAAAAAAAAATCAACAAGGATACAGAAAATCAAAGAAGTGGAAATCATATCCAGCATCTGCCAGTACTTCAAGCCTAACTGCAAACTTCCCTCAAAATCCCAAAATACAGGAGTTCACACAACACTGAGAAAAAAGTTAAATCTAAATCCATCTTTATCTGTCCAAGTCTTACATACTGTTCATTAATATTAGATAACCAAGGCTTAACCACTCTGTTTTCTTGTTTACTCATTAGCAGTAGCATTACACACTTAGCAGGGAAAAGGAAAGAACAGGTCTAAAGTGCACAGAAACCCTAAATTAATAGATACAATTTGATTTACAGTTCAGACTACATTTGGGGCACAGGTGGGAGTACTCAATAACCACTAAACATCCAGGAAACTTAATTCCTCAGAAGAGAGAGTCTCACATTCCGACCCAGTAGACACTTTCAGCACTACCAAACCATGTCCTCCTCTCATCCAGAAAGGAATAATCTCATTAAAAGGCACTTTTTAACCCACATGATTTTGTACAAGCTCAATTCATTTGGGGGGGGGGAGAAACAAACAAGTAGAAAAGAAATTTATTGATGCTCTTTTCTCCTGTTGTTTCTTATCACACTTAGTGCCCATTTCCCTGTTCTGTGCCTTTCAGTTTGGTTCTGCTACACAGCCCTACAAGCAGCCTCATCTCTCTGGTAGGCTCAAAATGCTCCCCACTAAGTTGTACACACACACTCTTCAGGAATACTGGAGCCCAAGTTCATTCCTACAAACACTGCATAGCTGTAAAAACCATCTGCAGACTTGAAGGACACAGACAAACACTTTTGCTTTAGCATTCCCCCAAAACAACACCAGCTGGTTGAAGTAACACTATCTTTCACCAAGCGACACACGACACACTTGTGAGTACAGGGACCATATATGGTACTGATTTTGTCAAAAAAAAAAAAAACAAACTGGGAAATAGTTCAGAAATAAAATGGCAAGGAGAAACCAGGTACACTATGCTTGTCCAATGAGGTTGTTCTACAAAGAGATTCAGAAGCAAGAGAAATGCTTTAATCCTTACCACGTTTCAAAAACGCATTGCACATGGGCTCTGTGTTCTTCACCAGTAAAATCAGATTTTATTAAACATAGAAGTAGCTCCCTGGACTGTTTTCCTACTGCAGCATGAGGGAGAATCCTGAATTTTGGAATAGTTTTACTAAAAATATAAAATGTCTCTACTGGGGGAAAATAACAGAAGTATTATCCATGTAAAAACCCCAAAATCCATCTGGAAAAAAATTCTTCGTGTTTCTTTTGAGGACTTCTCTGTTTCAGTCCAGTTATAACAGAATTTCTCAAACTTTAATAACAGCAATCCTTTTGTATTTCAGTATATGTACATATCTAATAAAAAATGTGTACTATACAGAATTCTTATGTAGGAAAAAAAGGAACAGAAAAAAAAAATCCCTGAAAAGGAGAATCAAAGTGTGTTGAATTTCCAGAGTTGAAAACAGACCCTATGTGATACAGGTAGGAATAATGAAAAAAATTAAGAAAACCCAAACCTGCAAACAGGATGGTACACCGATAATTACATCTGAGATAGCCATAACAACTTGCTTCAAGTCTCCTTCACTATTCATACAGTAAAACCCATTTTTAATGCCATTTACAGATCGGTCATCTGTGAGAACATAATGTAACAAATTAAGCACAGAAAGACACAGGCTGAGAGGAAACAACTGCAAGAGCTTGCTGCCATTTGTGATTTTTCATTCCCTACCTTACAAATAGAATTGAGAATAATGTTGCATATTTTTTAAAAACTTAATCTCAAATATAGTAAAAAGTTAAAAGTCTTGATACTTTTAATCTGATTAGATACCAGCTTGGATTAAAGCATAGATTTCCTTCTTTTCCATATAAAACATGGAACTAAAGTAATATTTGTCCTTTCTGAAGAAAATAAAACTGCTCTGAAGTACATCACACAATCACCTAACCTTACTACCTCCATAAACAAAAACTTAAGATGCAAAGAGATTGCATTGTACATTAAGATTGTGTTAAATTCCACGCAGTGGATGCAGGCTTAAGGAAGTCACGAGCAAGCTTAAGAATCAATATTTTTTTATTTACTGCTTGGTAGTATAAAAGTTGTATATAAACTATTTTGTTAAAATACATTTGATATGCAAATTTAAGAAAGGTAAAAACTAATATAGCAATATCCATACCCCTATAAAATAGCACTGTAGTGTTAAAGGCAGTGAAATAGGCACAGTTTCTAAATCCTCTCTTACTCAAGAAGCAATGCATAAATTCAATTCTTGAACATATCAGATCTGATAATACCTTAGTTAACCATTTTATACAGGTAAGTGTTTTACATATCCAACATCTTCCCATTCCCTTTATTCTACATATTTTCAATGGAATCAAAATAGAAACTACTTTTATAATAAGTAAAAAAATACATATTTCTATTTAAACTTTCTTCCATCCTTTTGACAAATTTATTTGCAGTACTAACCCATCATGTATCAAAATACAGTATCAAAATAAATCACCCTTTTTTTAAAAAAGTTTTTGGAACAGTCTGTAATTGTGTAAATCCTTTCTGAAAATTATTTGAAACTGCTTGGTTTTGCCCAATATTCCCTTTTCCCAGCAACATTTTATACTCATAGCTATCAATCTCTTGGAAACTGAAAACTAACTACTATAATCAATACTAATTACATCTTCTAGAAATATTAGTTCTTCACACTAATAATCAAGTGAAGTTTAACGTATGCCTATAAGGTGAGCTTGGTGTTTATGTTGTACTTAAATACTGAAGAGATTTCATAAGCCAAGTTTAAATTAAGGGGAGCAGGGATGCTGAACACTCGGGTTCTGGTCCTAGCCAAACAATTATTTTGGGTTCTCAAGGACAGACGATTATCTCTAAAAACATCAATTAAAAAAAAAAAAACCAAAACCAAAACACACAAACAAACACACATTATTTTCAAAGTTTTGGTGGGCAGTGGTGTGGGTTTTTGGCAAATATAGCATCGTTGAATAGGCCCAATCAATATCTTGGGGATACAAGTAAAAGGAAGACCATCAGCAGCATATGCTTTCACCAAGAGTGAAAAAACTTAATGTTTCCTGAGAAGACACAAGAGAATCTAATACACAAGCAAGATTAATTTTGTACACACTGACTGTTAACACTGTATGAATTGATGAAGAACACAATTCTCAGATATGAAGGAGAAACAGTTTAGAGCACTTGGATTAAAAAGATTGAAGGTATTTAAAATAAATCAATTTCAAAAACATACGCTGATTTTCATTGAGTTCATAAAGCAGATTAAGTTACAGTTCTCAGAATATAGTGCAATCTCTACTAAAATGCATTACATTAGAGCTTACATTCTTAGGCACTCAGAACAAATGTTATTTTTCAGTTTCTATTACATAGAAAAGTTTGCTAAGTATTACAGAGATTTGTCTCCCCAAAACAAGTAATAGGACAAAGCAGAGATCATAAGTAGATACAAATAATTAACATCAAAATACCATGGTATTTTTAGCAGTAAGTCACACTTAAAATATGAAGGGAGTGACACTGGCTTAAGTTTTTGGTGCCAATGAAAACAGCTACCCTCAGTCCAACAAAGCCACTCTGAAGCAATTTAGTATATATGCCATAAATTTTTTCACGCCAAATATTCCATATCCTTATCTAAGGGTTGAAATATGCTGCCTTAGCTTAATAAGGAACCTGTGGGTAAAAAAAAAAAAAAAAAAAAAAAAAGCAAAACTATTAGGTATTCTTCAAATACAAGTGAGTAGTTACAAGAAAATGGGAGAACAAAAGGCCTTGAAGAAAGTAATCTTCCCAAGAGCTCATCTAACTGCATAGGAAAATATGCCTATATTAAGTAGTAAGGGGAAAGTAAGGGGTGGGGGAAAACAACAATTTAATTTAACATCTGCATATAGCTGAACCACTCTGCTGTGAAATACCCTTCACAGAGCTTGAGGGCTTATGTACTAAAGGCACAGATGCAGATTTGGCTGACATAATTATTTCCTTGTATGTTTTACTTGGCTTCTAGCAGTTAGATTAAAAGAATATTTTCATCCTTCAAAGCCTGGCTTTTATCCTCAGCAAACACTTGTCAGTTCTGGAGTGGGCAGAACAGAAGAAGAAAAATCCAGATGGACCACTGGGGTGAACGCAGTTTATCCACAGGGTCATTGTATTCCTTTTAATATTGAGCTCACTAGAAATGTTTGTCTAAGTACAAAAAAAATTAAAGACTTCATAAGGCTTTTACCTTTCCTGTCCAAAAACTGCTTTCTTTCCAAGATGAAGCCACTTGGTATGATGTCCACACAGCTCAACAGTATTTAAGTGTCTAAATCTTACTGATTTTACTGGTCAAAACCCATTAAGTGTTCAACCTTGCATGAATGCCATCACAGAACCTGTAAAATGCTGCAGGAGCCATAAATACATTTCCTTAAATAGTATGCATCTCCTGGGAGTTTTCAGTTTTCTCCAAAGTGCTCACAGACAAGCTTCTTCTAAAAGTTCCACCTGTAAGAGAAGAAAACAATTCTAAAAATAAACCTAAATAGCAAAATTAGTTTTAGGATGAACACACCAATTAAAAACCTAGCAGTTGTTCTGAAGTGGAAAAAAAAAAAAGCCACAATCGCATGAAGTGGTTGCGGTGCATTCCACATTTAGCATGTGAAATCCTAAAGACAAACTAAAAATTCAGCTGGTTTTCTTGAAAAGAACAGACAAACACATGGACAAACTGACAAATCACACCACAGTGCAAAGCCCTAGGAATGGAAAATGTTACACAGCTTCAGCGTACCAGTGCTTGTTTACCCAGTACTTAAAATGGATGTGCAAGAGGTCAACTCAAAAGTTTTGACTTCAGTTATCAGCTGTGTATCTACTACTTCTTTTATGTGCTACTACGTATATTTTAAATAAACTTTACTGATGAAATGGAGCCTGCTGAGAACATGGACCTTGGAGACACGGAGAAGACATGCTACAACTTCAAATGATGCAGCCAGCAATGCACAGGATAAGTTGAAACACTACAAAGGTCACTTCAGAACATGTCAGTTTAGGGGAAAAAAGCCCTGAACTTGAGAACAGTGAACACAAGCAACCTCATCATCATACTACATCACTGAGGGACTGCCCAACTCAGGAGTTCCATCTCATGCAGGAACTCTCAGTAACAGAGGTTAAAGTCAGCCACAAAGCACAAATCTACTGCCTCCGAATGACAGAACAAACCTTTTCTGGCAGCAGTTAAACACACATCTGTGTTTGCCTTCTTCCTCTGTATCTGAAAATTTGAGCCAAATTTCCCAGAACTATAAGCTTTTAATCAGACATTTATTGACTGGAGGCACAAAAGTCTTAAATGCTGCTTATCTGTTCAGTTTCAATAAATTAAGCTACAATAATTTATTGGAAGTCTGAAATAAGTAGTTTAAGTAAAGGTCTAACTAGTACCTGTTTACATGTGTACAGATTTTCATGACAGTGGACAAAAACTGATCTGGAACCGTGCTAGTAAACAGTATCAAAGCCTTTCAAGCAAGATGTTTATTTTTTGTAGTACACATCAAAAAGGCCTGGCTAATTTCCCAGCTGATTTACAAAATAGCTCTATTGGACTGGAGAGACCATTAAAAGATTCTGCGGAGCCATTTCTCTGCTATTAGAACATTTGTTTTCAGAAGGGGCAAAACTTTAATCCTAAGGGAGGTTCTACAATAAAAAGCTGCCATAGATGGACAATTTTTTTATAGCTTTACTATCGTATCTCTCTAGAGAACAACTTATTTTTAGATTAAAATAGTAATGGTAGAACTTTTAGGTAATTACAAGAAAAAGCTTTCTTATTTAGGAGAGGAAAGAACAAAATAGAAAGAAAACTGGACTACAAAACATTTTTAGAGTGATTTCAAAACATTTTTTTTCAATCAAAATGCACTGAAATTTTTCATATATGCCCCTTCCTTTCTATTTCTTATGTTTAAAGAGAAGATAACTAGCCCTCCTTCAATAAAAAACATTGTATTATAAACAATCTGATGATGTTACCATGAGACATCTAGAAAAGAAATAACAATAGTCATAGGAGCAATAAAACAATTAGCTGGGCACAGAAATGCCAATGCAGCCAGTGAAGGAAGAGGTTATCTTCTACTGCATTTAGGTAATACTGATTTTTAAAAAGGGAAGAAATAAAAAAGAAACCACACCAACATTAAAAAAAAACCTGAGCACAAGGACATAATTCTGAATGAGAAACTAAGAGTAAAGTTTGCCTTTCACTGACATCTGTAGATTCTTCTCAGATTACACAGAAACAATGAAACAGCAGCCACTAGGCAGCTATGACTTGCAAAAATTTGTTACAGAACAAAAATCAAAACACTGATATTGAAAAGCATTTGTCCAGTCTGGTCTTACAAATGTCCAGCAATAAAGATGCAACAGCTTATTCCAACTTTTTAAGTTTTGAAACCTGAACTCCACCTCCTTGCAATTTAGCCTATTATTATCTTCTTAGCCACTGAGCAAATGAAACAATTTATTTCATTACCCTCCACAACTTTTAAATATTTGGAAGTATACCACAACTCCAAGTCTTTCTTCCTCTATAGCAATGGTTCAAAAAACCGATGTGACACAGCAGCCAGGCAAATACACTCTGATTAGTCTAACAGTCAAACCCATGCTGCCAGCAAATGTTGGAAGAAGTAACCCCATCGTGTACCAGCTCTCTACTTTAATCTCAAGATACTCGAGGGGGTTTGAGTCTTGTTACATATGTAAACAGGCCCAATTTTCTCTTGTGCATTTCCCTCTCCTATTTGAAGTTACCAAGAGCTTGAAACTGGACAGAGCTGACACAACATAATTTTATCCTGTCTCTCAGCATACAGAACACTGTGCACTTTGTTCACTATCTTCAAGTCCAATACCTTTATTATGCCACCCTAGAACCTTTCTTCGTTAAGGGTCAAGTCTGAATTTGAATCACAGTGGTATAAAATCACTTTTCCCCTTCATATTATCAATCAGTGTGTCATCAATTAGAAGCAAAACTTATTAACTTACAGGGTTTTTTTCCCCCAACACTCTGAACAGTTAAAAAAACCAACACAGTCCGGGTTGCATTCCAAAACCATGCCAGACATGTTTTTGACATGCTTAATAGGGTACCTTGAGCAATTCACTGAAGTTTAATGACTCACAAGAAAACCCCAACCACCTGGCTCAGTTAGATCCCTGTGATACAGGCAGTTTCATGTCTCCATTGTTATTAGTCAAAGCTCCACTGATCTATCAGAGGAGTATCCAATAAGCAATCATCTCAAATAATCACACAGTACAAAGCAGCAAGCACAGGGAAGAAGCACCGTAGTTATCTGAGTGATACAACTGTCAGTAGCACTTGTTTGAGTAATAAGCACATTGCTACTAAATCTGAGCCATTGTTTATTGCCAAAAATTAATATGCAAATGTTTTATTTCGTGCACTAGTGATGTCGCCTCCACAAAGAAGTTTTTATTTCAACATCTACTCTAATTAAAAGGTTGAAAAAAACAATTAGGTAAGAACTTGGTGGGTAAATAAGCTTTTACCAAGTTATCATTAACTGAGCGATCAAATATAAATTTTGCAGACTTGTGCAGAGAGTTTTGTAATTGAAAGCTGAGTTTTCAAACAGAACTGATACATTTTCAACTTTACTGATTACTTCACGTATTTCACAACATAATGCTTTCAATACGAGTTCCAAATATTTGATACCTGCAGTTTACTCTGAGCTTCTCCTCTCTGAGCTTCTCCTCTCCTGCATTTCCTGTTTCACTGGCGTGGCAGGTGCTTCGCTCACTTCTTGTTTCACAGGCGTGGCAGGCATGTCACCATTGACACTCTCCACGCCAGTAACAGACATCAAGCTCTTCCGTTCTTTGGAATTTGATTTGTGCTCCACTTTTGTGACTCGAAATCTTAAGGAAACAAAAGAAAGATTGAGTTTTATTTCCCCAGAGATTAGTTAGGTCATTCTCAGAACCGGTTGTATGAGAAGGAACAAATTTCCAGGTCTCAAGAACTAGACATCAGAGCAGACACCCACACAGACCCTGCTTCACTTCAGAGCAATCTTCCTTCCTATTATTACCTACATGTCTTTCTAATACTCATTACTGCTGAATCTCACTTTCTCAGGAAATTTTGTTTTAAAGCAGAATCCACAGATTGCATCCTACTTCTTAGAACAGTAATTTTCAAACAGAACTACAGCAGAAGTTAGAAATTAAAAATAACAAGGAGAATGAAGTGGCTTCTATAGCTCACACTTTCTTGAGAAATATCAATTTCAGAAACAGAGGAATTTATTATGTGTGCAATCCTCGTTTCTTTTTAGCCTGTACCAATTGAGCAATAGCACTGGATTTATACCCACAGTAAATCTCCATCTTCTTACACAGTTCTTAAAAATATCACATTTATTTCTTCCAGAAATAATTTCAGTCTAATACTAACAGGGGTATGAAAAAAAAAAATCACTGATGCTATAAACAGAGTTGAATCAATGGATATCTGATCCAACACTGGCCGCTGTAGCATTCCTAAGAAAAGTATACAGCAAAATGATCTAAGGCTTACCTTCCCACAGAAAGGACTGTAACTTCTCCAATACGACTTCTTCTGTTCTCTTTAGATTTGTGAGCTGGCTTTATAAGATGCCATCGTTTGTGACTACAACGAGTACAAACATCCTTTTCTACCACTCCTCCAACAGTATGGAAGTGATGGGCTTTGCAGTTGTGCTTGAACGGAACAGCACCGGGTGACAAAGGAGTCCCTGGACTCATTGGACTCTCAGGAGAGGTAGGAGATAAAGGGCTATAAGAAAATGTATAAAGGAAATGTAATGTTTACTATAAATCCAGTTTCTTAAAAAATAAAAAAAAAGATAAGATATAACCTTCAGTTAGGTTTAGTGAATAGCTAGTTTTTTCAAGGATCATTTATTTGTGAGAATGTGTGGTTTAAGATTCCCTCTGATACCATATTTTTGCAGTCAAAATCACTTCCAGAAATTAATTCATCAGCAGTCATGTGATTACAGTAACTAACACAAAAGGCAAGGAAATGAAGAGAAAAAAAACCAGCCTAAAATAGAAAAGAACAAGTTACATGAACTTATACTGATGAAGACATCCAATAGGCTGATTACATTCACACTTGGAGAACTATGGAAAGTATTTCAGAATTGTTACAGTATCTCAAAGAACTCCCAGAAGAAAAGCATAGTCCCACAATGAAAAAAGGCAAAACTAAAATGTCTATGACAAAAAGAAATGAACTTATCATTTAGTTTCAGGGGAAAAAATAAAATTTGAGTACCCAGAAAGAAAGAAAAAGCAATACAACCACCAAAAGGCATTTGAGAATATCTAATCAAATAAATATAATTTTATTCTAAACCAGAAAAACAGCACAGATTGAAACCAGATGTACTTTTTTGAACTTCAGCATCCATTTTGACACTGTCATGCAACACATTCTCATAAAGCAAACCAGAGCTCATGAAAGGTGAAGTAACTGTAGAGTAAGGTAGCACACCTTGTAAAAAAAAAAAAAACCAAACTAAAAAGACATACAGAAAGTTATGTATCAGTAGTTACTATGAAACTGGAAAGACATACAGAGTGTGGTTATTCTGGTCCTCATGATATTCAGTGCTTTAAATAGTTCACTGGGTAATAGAATAGAAGAATAGCTAAAGTACCCACAGACTTTAGATCACCCACAGCAACTGTAGAGGACAAGATAAGAAATTACAATGGTCAGAGGAGAGTGTGAAAGACACTCACATGTACAGAAATCTTACTAAAAATACTGGATGAGTTGCAGTAAGGACAACAACATTTTCAGTGTTTTAGCAGAAAACCTTCACACAAACCCAGATGAAAAAGCAACTGAACAGATGATCACTCCAGAAAAAGATAATCATGAGTTGAACATGAATCATGAACATGGTCTTGCTTAAGGACAAACTTCACAATGGAAATAACAGGAGTATAACCTGTGAACCTAAAGTTACATTACTCAGCATTAATCATGACACAGCTGATACTACTAGGCAGGTTTAGGAATGTTATTTCAAGAAAAATACTAACAAACTGAAGAGACTCCAAAGGAGAACAGAAAGAACAAATTAAAGAAGTAAAACATGCTGTAGAAGACTGGAGTTACTTGGATGCTTATTTTCCAAATAAAAATATTGACAGCAGACATTCAATGGTCTTCAAATAAACAAGAAAATGCTATTAAGAAAAATAAAATCTGTTCAGTATCAGAAGCAAAGGCAGGAACTAATGGCTTCAAGTGGCAGAAGTGCAGATTTTACTCAGCCATTATTATTCTATAATTAGAAATTATTTTATAGTGTACTGAAGTTAGGTACACTGTGGATTTGCACTTGATTACAAAAGCTTTAGGAGTATCTGTCAAATTCTGTAAGACCAAACAATTTTTCCCTCCCCCTTATACTTTTCATATTTTAATTCACCACTGAAACTATAGTCAAAAACTCCCAAAATAACATCAAACATGCCTAACCAAAATATTCAAACAAATATTCCTACTGCACCACAGAAGCTTAAAAATAATTCTTATATTTGAGAAGGAATCCTTTTATAAGTTCAATTTTTTTTTTCTTCAATAACCAAGATTCTCACCATTAGAACAGGTGACTAATGCTTGCATACTCAACTTTGTTTTGCTAAAACTATATACTCCCACTTCTTTTATAGGTGACACAACACTACTTGAACTTCCATCTTCTCTGCCTTGAATATGAACACAGGGTTACAAATGAAGAGGATTTAAAGTAGTAGTAGATGTAGTTAAAGGTACTTATGTACAGATACAAGTACTCTTACACATAAGATGCATCTGTAAGGCTGAACTACTTTCTCTACATAATTATCTAAATAGGAGTGCAGTGAAAAAATGTAAGAGATAGGTCAGCCAATGTATATTCCCACAATTACAAAGTAAAAAGTAAACCAGGAGACACAGAATGAGATGTCTATTTTAAGTTGACATCCACACAAATTAAATAAGTGCTGCCTCTTCAAGTCAGAGTAGCTTTGGTCTAAGCCACCTTCTAAGTAACTTCACTCTGAAGCAAACCAGTAATCTTTAGCTCAACAAGCAGCAAAACCGTATCGCACACCTCGCACACATACCCAGAAGTGCCAGTCACCAATCTAGGGCATATACTAAAATTTAGGGAGTCAGACACCAGAGAAAATCTAAGTACTATCCTCTTAGCTGGTAGCTCAAGCAAGCAATGCAGTCTTAAAAGTGTTTGTGAAACAAAATCTTTTGGAAGGGTATGTTTTTAGTTGCCTCAGGAAACATGCATTAAAATGACAAGTAATTACCTTTCAGGTTCAAAGACACTGCTATCTGCTACCATGGCCTTTAACACATCAGCATTTGCTGCAATGAGAATAAACAGAACTCTTCAAAAGTGAACAGCTCTAACTTCAGAAAAAAGAAAAAGTAAAATTTAAGTTCCTCAGAGAAATTTCATCTAAAAGAAAGATGACTGCGTTATGTACATCTCCAAAAAGGCATAAGAGAAAATTACAGGAAAGAAATGTTAATGCTACAGGAATTTCTTAACATAAGCTACTAAAATTACAGTTCAAAGCTCCACCCCAATACAAGCCATATAACGTAGCTGTCTGCACAGAACTCTCAAACAAGATCTCTGAATCACCTCACATGTTTAAAGCAACTTCAGATTAAGAACACCAGTTTAAGTGAGCCCTACAAAATGCAAATTAATTATCACCCAAGCACTATCAATTGCTCACATATTCTCAAACACACACAAATTACCTAATCCCAACCTCAAAGAAAAATACACAAGCTCAAAGCTCTAACAGTTAAAAAAAATATTTAAAAAATTAAACAAACAAACAAAAAACCTCACAAACAACAAAACCCCAAAAGCCCCACACACAGACCCAAAAATACCACTTTTCCAGAGGACTAGTCTTCAGTCAGAAGTAACTCAAAGCCAGTTCAATGCTTAGAACTCTGATTTATACAAAATTAAAAGGCTAAAGCTTCTTGTACTATAAAAACATCCAGTCTCCTAAAAGTTTCTTCTATTGGGCAAATACATTCTGAACTAACCAAGTATTCCATGGGGTGCTTAACTATGATTTTATTTGTTCAGTCATATCTTTATCCTTTACTTTGCACACACAGAGCATGAAGATGCCATTAGTGTTAGTACACGCTATTGTCTTACTTATGCACAAACCTTTCATCAGACAAGAGCTGCAAAAATCACTTCAAGACAAAAAGTTTAATCTAGTCAAAACATAGAAGTTTCCACAGGCTTTAAACACTGACACTGAGAAAGCAACTTTGAGCTTTTACTTCACAAACAAAGCAAAAGGTTGAAGCAAAGAAAAAAAAAAATCAAATACCCAAACAGTTAAAGTATGAGGGAATGCATGACCTTATCTTACCATACAAAAAAATTCTGGGGTAAGCGAAAAACTTCCCTATTCTGCTTGAAGTTTTGCCTTGTGAAGGCAATTTCGAAGAGCTAAGCATGAACGAATCACTTATTAAATGAAAACACACACTTCAGATTATCTGAAAAAAACATATTTGTTACAGAATACCATCACAAAGGCTGATAACTTCAATGTCCCAATACTATACCTTCATTTTTCATGATGTAGTTAACTATTTGTCCCACAGTGTCACTATTCTCATGTATAGTTTCATTCATTTCTGTGCAAAGAAATAAATATGTTGTCAGTATCTTGGGCTTCTGAATAAAGAACTGAATTATTTTAAAACAAAATTTTAAAAAAGCCACAACAAAACCAAACACACCAGAAGAAACTACATTAAAAAACAGAAAGACAAGATCTATTGTCACAATGGAGGAAAAGCTTAATAAGACTTTTCAGTCCTTATTCAGGAAAAAATACGAACACAAGTTTACGATCTATACATCAGCTCTAAGAAATTCAGCTAAGAATTAAATAAATGCAGTATTTTCACAAGCATATGCCAAAACTCCTTCTGTAGCTACTAAGTAGGAGACAAAAAAAGAGCAGTATTTCTAATCCTAATATTAGGGAGAAAAAAACAAAACAAAACAGATCATTTAACTGTCTCAAGTCACTATTTTAAAACAGGTATTACTGGCTTCTAATATGACAAGAATTCAATTTAAGTTTTTCACCACATCTACAAGGACATAACAACTGATTACTTTAATGAAAAAAAAAATCTGAAAACTTTTGGAATAGAAAGCACCCATTAACAGTACTGAAAGTTTCCACAGAATAACTTCCGAAGGCTGAAAAAGATCAGTGGGACAACCAGAACAGCCAAGAGGCACAACTCTGCCCTTCCCTAATAATTGTTATAAAGCTTTATTAAAAATTAAAGGATTGAGGTAAGTTTGACAGGCAAGACCCTAAATTTTTCAATGCACAGTAAATGAGTAAATCTCTGTACCCATGCTTCATCTTAACACCTGCAACTCTGCAATGTAACTTAGAAACAGCTACTTCCCAAAACTGAGATGTAGGTGATGTCCCCCTTTCACTACTCTATGGCTTCCCTTGCTGTTAACACTCAGGTGAACTGACAGACCAGACAGTTCCACTCACTCCTCACATGCCCCAGGCAGTAAATGCTTAAGAACACAGCAACACATCATTACTGCACCACATGGCTCTACCCTCACCACAGAGCCACTGTAATTTACATTCATTATGAACCTACTGAAAGAAATTAATTGAAAGAAAGGAAGAGGCCCAGAGTATTTACAAGTGACTTGGCTCTTGTTTTTACTTAGCCAAATGTTATACTGGGTTACTATATCCCTTCCCAAGTGATAATGCCCTTTTATTTTCCCCAAGTAAGAACAGATGAGAACAAGGAACCATAAAAACGAGGGTACAAACAAACATTAGGACAAAAATAAAGGTATCTTTAAGAAAAAATTACAAGAAGTAGACATTCCATTAAAACAGAATGCAGTCATTCAGTCCAAAGGCTTGGTTTTATAAGGAGAAGGGGAGACGACCATGACAGCACAAGAGGTGCAAATTAAGATTGCTAAACATAAAACTAAGATTTTAGGCTTTAAATGGCAGCCTTTTGCTACTCCTCATATAGAACTATGTAAACTAATACTTTGTTGTAAACAGCATGTAGAATGCAAAATGTTATCTGGTGACTCCAACTGCACTGTGGAGTTGCAAACAAATATACTGATAATTTAATCCCTCTGTAAGCTCTTAACTGATGTTAAAGGACTTGCATGGGAAATTGGAACACTGCTAGTTTTGATTGGCAAAGATCAAAACCCAACTGGCATACAGTAATAAAGATATTTTTCTTAATATTGCTTTGATGTCAAATATAGACAGTGAAATGACAGAAATCTCACAATAAATTATTTCATAGCAGTAGCAATGTACAGAAATAGGAACTTGTTTATTAGACTTGATTACCTATTTTTTCATCAAGTTTTTCTTCTTCTACTTCTTCAGCCTCCGTTGTACAACGATAACCTTTTTTCTTAAGGACATGGCAGATAAGGATCCCCAAAAGGCCCATGATGAAGAAAACAGGAACCAAAGCAAAGGCAATATACTCTAGGTGTTCAGTCTTGCCATCATTGCCATCAGTTTTAGTTGTCAAAGTAGTTGTCTGTAAATCATGGATTGACAAAACCTGGGGAGCCTCTCCATCTATGTAAACAAATAAACAGTTATCACTATAGACTGTAAATCATTTGAAAGCATTTAGAAAATTACAAGCACGTCCAAATCCCCACAGTGTCTATGCCATGTACCTTCTGTGATGACGTGGACAACACATACACTACTGGCTGAGAACTTACACCTGCAGCAGTAGAAAGTCCCTCTTCAACAAGCAATTGCAAATGTCTAACATACATTAAAGAAATATTGTGTGTTTTCTGTAACAGTGAAGAACCAACAGTATTCTAGCCTGAGAGGCTTGTAATCTCAAATAGAGGGCTTGCATATCTCACAGAAGAATAACACTACCATTGTTCCTAGTTCACATCAGCAAGGAAAATGCCATACCATTCCTCCAGTCCTAAGTTCATAAAAAACTGACAACAAAATGTGGATCCTTCCCTAATATGTGAGTAAATACAGGATCTAGTATTGACCCTTGCAAAGAAAAAGTATCAGGTGTGAGAGATACAACCTTAATTTTTTTCTTAACAGTGGGATTTCCCAAAAGAAAGAACATTTACCCTCTACTCAACTGCATAAGGTGAGCTCATTCTTTGCTTGTCTGAGATTTGGAAACCATTTTATATTTAAAATTGAAACAGGATGTGAAAGAGAATTATTTTTATGTGCAAAGAATTTAAGTTACAGCACAGTCACATACTAACTGTATATTCATAATTAAGCATTTTTGCTTCAATTAAGCTCTGAATTTCACAGTTGTATATTCCACATTATAAACTGGGATTTTTGAACTACCAGAAGTATAGAATATTTACAGTAGCAGGGACCTCTGAAGTTCACCAGTCCAAATGCTGCTAAAAGCAGCACTGATTAGATCAGGTTGCTCAGGTAAGCTCCATCTGAATGACGAGTGTTCCATATTTCTGGGCAACCTGTTTCAGCATTTGCCCACTTTTATGGTCGTTATACACAAATAAATTTTAAAAATCATGGCAGGAGGGGTTGGGACTAGATGATCTTTAAGGTCCCTTCCAACCCTTAGCATTTTATGACTCTATTAAAAAATACTAAAGTTCTACATAATTATTTTTAAATCATCAACCTGAAACCTCATCAGCTTGACACAGCCACTGAAAACATACACCATCGCCATCCTCTGAAAGAGCAAACTATTAGAAACCACTCGGTTTGAGATTCCCAGCCTACCTAATATATAACACATGTAAATGCTTGCATGTTAAGAACCATGGTTTGAGTTTCTTTGTTTTCTGTTTCTTTTTCTTCCTACATAATCTGTTTTATGATTTAGTACAACTGCTTGTAGACACATAAAACACCAATAAAAAAACCATATCAGCTACAATCTCATCTGCAGTCAACAGGTGATGACAATCTAGACAAATACTAAAAGAATAGATGCAATATATGCAAGTTAAAAGGAGAACTGTGCCTATATTGGCACTTTTTTTCCTGACAGAATAATGTTGAAAAACTCATAATTTATCAACCGAATACTCTGTAGCACAGATTAGTCAGCTAACTGGGTTAAGATTTACAGAGTTTTTGAACTAGGCAGGAAAACATACCTAATCTTTCTTTCCTTTAAAAACACATTAAATTAACATGGATACTTCACCATACCAGTTTATATACATAAGCGTACATGCCTTTTCTTTCGTTGCCTTTAGATACCTTAAAATCCAACTCTCCCAGTAAAATTCAACAAGAAACAAATAACCTTGCAAGGCATTTTGCTTATTACTAGTAAAACATTAAATCAATAGCAGTTCTGTAAAACCACATCATTTATACAAAGTCCATAAACTGCTTGATGCCATTCATTTTTTGTTCAGAGATGTAAAAATTCACCAAAGGCAAACCAAAATATCCTAGAAGAAACTAACCAGCTGAATCAAATATTTGGTGCACCAAATATTTGGTGCTTACAAGCAGAGCAAAGCACTCAGCTCTCATTATCAAATACCCTACACAGCCTGCCCTAAAAAACCTTAGACATTATGCAAAGCCACACCTTGCCTATCTAAATGAGTAATATATTTTATGTCCCAAGTCATAGCTATATCATTCATTGTATGATCCCCATTCCCTTTCCCCAGAGGCACACTATGCTTATTATCAGACTACATCATCCTCACAATTCACACTGCTACTCAACGGTTTTAATGACAAGTTCAAGCCATAGCAATCTTCCTTGACTCAAGTCAATTCATAAAGGAATTAATCTGCTTCCGTGTTTTGCCGTCCTGGCATTTTTATACACCAGTCATTGTATACCAGTCTACACATCAAAATTACTTGAAGATGTAATCTAAATGAAAATATTTAGGAGCAATATTCAGCACATTTAAAGTGGTGCTTAAAAATGTAAATAATGAATTGCACTTATGCTACTAATTCAGATGTCATGTGCTCTTGTGGCTTAAAAATGAATATATGCTAGGTATTGAAGTTGAATATTGGCTGTCCTTACTTATCCTTTACCTAGGAAGTAAAATATAAAGACAGTCAACCTCAGACAAGACTTTTACACTTATTCTAATCAGTGTTACTCTGACACAAAGGCAGCATTCGTCCACTTTAGCAACTGTTCAAGAAAATTTTATAGCACCTTTAGGAAACAGAACTTAGGAGAAAAAAGTTAGCACATTAATGAAAAGATATTTCATCCTTCATTAAATTGTAATTTTTACATGGCCTAGGCATATTACTAACATCCTAGTTAAATACCATATTCCCTCCATATTAGTAAAATAATGTCTGACCCCAAAAATATGCCAAGACTACAATGTCTTGAAGGCTGGGAGCAAAGGTAATACTATGTAACAAACCTTTCTCCCTCGAGGTTTTATGAGCTCACAGAAAAGAGAGGTGGGAGCACCTTAGAGAGGTCATTCTACTTCATCCTGCTGTCAAAAAGTGGGATTAACCTAGACAATTTACCTGCCAAGCGTGGCTAAAGATCCTGCAAAGGTAACAGCTCACCCTCCACACCTATTGTCTTTTTCAATGCAAATGGAGGGTCAGAACAACTCATCCTTTAGTACCTACTACCACAATCGCAGACTCTGCTTGCACTGAGGTGCAGAATTATTCTTCCCTTGGTTTTAAGTGCATGTACTTCAAAAGACTTCATACTTGGCACAATCACTTGGACCTCTCCAATATGAGCCACAGTTATCCCGAAGCTCTAAATTTTTATTAATATAGACAATTCTCGAACTTTTCAAAGAGCACACGAGAAATTTCTAGAAATATTTAATGCTAATCTTATCTTGCTTGAAAACCTACTCAGATTCTTGAAAAATAAATCCTTTTAATAACAAAGATCAAAACTGTTTAGATCTTATGTAAGCAACATACAATGAATCATTAAAATAATACACTGTATTTTTCTAACTCTTCTATACTAAATCTAAGCATAATCTACATCCAGCTGATTACTTCAAGCACATCCCACTTGTTTTTGTATTGTTTAACTTACAGAAAGTGGCCCACAAACAATGATGTAATCTTCTCTCTGCTCTACTGATAAAGAATCCTATTCGGTTCTCTGGATTTTGCTCATTATGCCCATGTCCTTTATATCTTATGGCATGCCTTTTAAAGAGCTTTGTTTACATTTTATGAATTTGATTTTTCTAGCAATCTACCTGCTAAAAATAAGTACATATATATATTCGCTATTTTCTTCTCCATGAAGTTCAAGGAGTTACAGGACCATATTTCCTCTCTCAGGCATGAAAATAAAACATAGCTATCAATCTCACAGTGTACAGAAACAAACTATTGTTGGTCTTAACATTAATTAATATTTAAAGAAATTAAATATGATCATGTACAACCTATTTAAGTACAAGACAAATGAAATATTCAGATATGGCACATGATCTGCTCAAACATCTCAGCTAAGCATAGCTGGAAAACATGCCTCGGTAGCAACATCAGTTTCTGCGTTTCTCTCCCTCCTCACCACTAACGTGCCAGTCCTCACATCTGCAGGAAAAGAGCAGTCACTTAAGGTTCAAAATAATTAGACAGGATATGGCTTCCATGGGTGGGTTTTGATTCTTTTTTTTTTTTTTTTGCGGTTTTCTGGCGATTTTTTTTTCTTTTTCTTTCTTCCATACCTGGATCACCTCTAGTTCAATTCACCATGCAGACCTACACACTGTTAGAAGGGCATCATCAAAGCACTGATGAAGCTGGCAACGCCACAGGCAGGAATGGTCAGGCAGCCTGTAAGCCCAGCTCCCCTGCAAGGAAAAGGCATCTGATGATCATATTTAGTGCTTCATCCTCTCCTGGCTCTAAAGGAAGTATATTCTAAACTCCATTAAACTCTAGTGAGACTTCTTACCTCCAGGTCAGACATCTAAGGCGGATAGATCATGGAATGATTTGGATTGGAAAGGACCTTAAAGACTATGTAGTCCAAACTCCCCTGCCATTAGCTGGGACACCTTCACTAGGTCAGGATGCTCAATCTGGATGTGTTCTTTGATTTATAGCATTCATTTTAAGTATCATTTAAAATAAAACCTTTTTTCATTTTAAATTACCTTTAAGTTCAGACATAAAAATAAAAACCCCCTGTTTATTAGCTCAATTTCGTAAATACACACTAAATACCTCACTGTCAGGAATTTAAGAGAACTAACTTTATTTTTAAAAACTTAATTTGAGTTTTAGTGAAATTAATTAAATACCAGCTTATATTTCTTGGTATTTTAGGCGTGGTAGATATTTTCTTACAAGAAGAAAGTTCTAAATCAGCTATTCGGAGATATACTAAACCACCCCCTAACTAGAGCTGCAGTAGAGGTTTCTACTATCAAAGTTGAATTTCATTTTTTAGATTTTTAATTCAAGTGCTTAGCAGTGAAATCGTCTAGGCAATTCATTTACTCTGATGGTAATCATGTACTTATTTAATACAGGTTTTTAGTTATTTTACCAATAATAAATTGAA